GAGTCTCACTCTGTCACCCAGTCTCTATGCAGTGGCACAATCTCGGCTCACTTCAACTTTCACCTCAAGCAATTCCCTGCCTCAGCCTCCTGAGTAGCTGAGATTACAGGTGCCCACCACCTTGCCTGGCTAATTTTTGTATTTTTAGTAGAGACGGAGTTTCACCATATTCGCCAGGCTGGTCTCAAATTCCTGATCTCTGGTGATCTGCCCACCTCAGCCTCCCGAAGTGCTGGGATTATAGGCATGAGCCACTGCACCCAACCTGGATTGGCCAATATTTTGTTAAAGTTTTTGCATCCGTGTAAGAAATATAGGTGTGTGATTTTCTTTCCTTTTTATTTCTTGACATCAGGATTATTCTGAACTTACAGATAAAAAAGTGTTCTTCGTTTTTCGAAAAGAGTTTATATAAAATCAATATATCTTTCTTAAATGATTGATAAACATGTACTAGTGAAACCATCTTGCTCTGGAATTTTCTCTAGGGACCTTAAAGATATGAGGTGATTCAAATGTTCTACTTCTTCCTGTACCTGTTTTGGAAAGTTGTATTTTTCAAGTATTTTTTCCATTTAATGTATATTGTTGAAACTGTCAGCATAAAGTTAGTCATAATGTTTTCTTATATTTTAAATTTCTGTATATCAGTAGGGAAATTCCTCTTTTATTCTTGGTATTTGTTATTTGTGTTTTTTTCTCTTGATCAATCTCACTAGGGGTTTAGCAATTTTGTTAATATTTTCAAAGAACCAACTTGTGAATTGGCTAACGTCTCACATTATTTTTTATTATTTTTTCTCCTATTCACTTTGGATTTAATTTGCTTTCTTGTTCGAACTTCATAAGGTGGAAACTTAGATAATTGATTTCAAACCTTTTTTCTTTACTAACATAAATTTTTAAAGCTATACATTTCTCTTTAACGACTGCTCTGGCTGCATTCCACAAATTTTGATGTAGTTTCACTATCATTCTATATCCAGTGTTTGTTTGTTTTCTGAGACAGAGTCTCGCTCTGTCGCCCAGGCTAGAGTGCAGTGGCATGGTCCTGGCTCATTGCAAACACTGCCTCCTGGGTTCAAATGATTCTCCTGCCTCAGCCTCCCGAGTAGCTGGGATTACAGGCATGCCACCACGCCCAGCTAATTTTTGTATTTTTAGTAGAGAGAGGGTTTCACCATGTTGGCCCAGCTGGTCTGGAACTCCTGACTTCGTGATCCACCAACCTCGGCCTTCCAAACTGCTGGGATTACAGGCATGAGCCACCGCACTCAGCCCAGTGTTTTCTAATGTTCTTACAACCATGCCTGGCATAAAGTAGTTAGCGAGTGTTCCCTCTTGTTAGCTCCAGTATTTGTTTCTCTTGTTAACAAGTGAGAACAATCCCCTTTGGAGCCTCTTTGCTGTTTCCACTGACTGAAATACTATTCCTTCATATAGGCCAAGAATTCTAATAAATTTCCATTCATTGTGCAGGTGTGACCTCAGACATCACTACCTCAAAGAAGCTTTCCCTGATGAACCAGACCAAAATGGTCCTCTCATGTACTAAGTTGAATAGAGACCACAACCACCCCCAAAAAATTCATGTCTGCCCAGAACCCAGGAATGTGACCTTATTTGGAAATAGAGTCTTTGCATATAGAATCAAGTTAATATGAGATCATAAGGTCACACTAGAGACCAGGCATGGGGCTCACACCTGTAATCCCAGCACTTTGGGAGGCTGAGGCCCGCGGATTATGAGGTCAAGAGATCAAGACCAGAGCCTGGCCAACATGGTGAAACCTCATCTCTACTAAAAATACAAAAATCAGCGGGGTATGGTGGTGCACACCTTTAGTTCCAACTACTCAAGAAGCTGAGGAAAGAGAATCGCTTGAACCTGGGAGGTGGAGGCTGCAGTGAGCCGAGATCACGCCACTGCACTCCAGCCTGAACCCAGGAGGCAGAGGTTGCAGTGAGCGGAGATCGTGCCACTGCAGTCCAGCCTGGGCAACAGAGTGAGACTCCATCTCAGAGAGAGAAAAAAAATGCCAGACTAGTGTATATGATCACACCATTCATATTTGATCACACCCCGCTGATTTTTGCATATGGAATCAAGTTAATATGAGATCATAAGGTCACACTGGAGACCAGGCATGGGGCTCACACCTGTAATCAAATATATGATCAAATATATGATCACACCTGGGCGACAGAGTGAGACTCCTCAAAAAAAAAAAAAGATCACACTGGATTAGGACGAGCCTTAAATCTAATATGACTGGTGTCTTTATGAGAAGAAAGAAACTTAGAGACAGAGACCCAGACACACAGAGATAACACCATGTGACAACAAATTCAGAGACCGAAGTGATGCCTCTACAAACTGAGGAACACCACGGATGGCCAGCAGCCACCGGAAGCTAGGAAAGGGCAAAGAAGGATCCTCCCCTAGATCTTTAGAGACAGCACGGCCCTGCTGACACCTTGATTTCAGGCTTCCACCACCTAGAACTGGAAGACAGTCAGTTCTCCTGCTTTAAGCCACTCAATTTAGGGCAATTCGTCACTGTAGCTCTAGAATGTAATGCACGAAGTTACATGTTTCCATACTATCCAATATTTTTCTTTCCTAGCTAATACATATGAATTATCAGGAAATATGAATGGTGTGATCATATACACTAGTCTGGCATTTTTTCTCTCTCTCTCTCTGAGACAGTCTCACTCTGTTGCCCAGGCTGGACTGTAGTGGCATGATCTCCTCTCACTGCAACCTCTGCCTCCTGGGTTTAAGCAATTCTCCTGTCTCAGCCTCTTGAGTAGCTGGGATTACAGGCACAAAAAGCCACCGTGCCTGCCTAATTTGGGTATTTTAACAGAGATGGGATTTCACCTTATTGTTAAGGCTGGTCTTATACGCCTAACCTCAAGCAATCCACCTGCCTAGTCTGACCGGCCTAGTCTGGCATTTCAGTAGAGGCCTCCTTAAGAAAGACTATCATAACCCAGCCAGGCACAGTGGCTCATGCCTGTAATCCCAGAACTTTGGGAGGCCGAGGTAGGTGGATTATAAGGTCAGGAGATCAAGACCATCCTGGCCAATGTGGTAAAACCCTGTCTCTACTAAAAATACAAAAATTAGCTGGGTGTGGCAGCACGCACCTGTAGTTCCAGCTACTCGGGAGGCTAAGGCAGGAGAATTGTTTGAACCTGTGAGACAGAAGCTGCAGTGAGCCGAGATGGCACCACTGCACTCCAGCCTGGGCAACAGAGTGAGACTCGGTCTCAAAAAAAAAAAAAAAAAAAAAGCCAAGCACGGTGGCTCATGTCTGTAATCTCAGCATTTTGGGAGGGCAAGGCAGGTAGATAACCTGAGGTCAGGAGTTCAAGACCAGCCTGACCAACATAGAGAAACCCTGTCTCCACTAAAAATACAAATTTAGCTGGGTATGGTGGTGCATGCCTGTAATCGCAGCTACTCAGGAGACTGAGGCAGGAGAGTTGCTAGAACCTGGGAGGCAGAGACTGCAGTGAGCCAAATAGCGCCGTTGTACTCTAGCCTGGGCAACAAGAGTGAAACTGTGTCTCAAAACAAAGAAAGAAAGAAGGAAAGGAAGAGAAGGAAGGAGAGAAAGAAAGAGAAAGAAAGAAAGGAGGGAGAGAGGGAAAGAAGAAAGGAAAGGAAAGGAAAGAAAGAAAGAAAGAAAGAAAAAAAGAAAGAAAGAAAGAAAGAAAGAAAGAAAGAAAGAAAGAAAGTAAGTAAGTTACCATAACCCCAATCAGTGTCTCCAATGGTAAGGATTTTGAAAGGCAGATAATTTTAAAGGAGCCTATCCTTAAAATCACAGCATATCAGTGGCCAGCTTCAGCTTCTCAATGCTGGCCTTGGATCACAGGGTTTTCTAGTGTGTAAATTATCCAAACGAGTAATCTCTTATAGCAACAGATTGTCAAAAAAAAGACAGTGATGCGGGAGTCATGTGGAGTCAGAAACATTGGTTCTATTCTCCCCTCTACCTCCAGGAAGTCTTGGGCAATTCACCACACCCCTCTGGGTTCCAGGCTCTTAACTGTAAAAGAAGGTGATTGGGGCTAGACAGTAGAGTCACTTTGGCTCTTACCTTCTGTGGCTTCATGGTTTCTTCCATGAACAGTAGCTGAATCCAGGAAGAGGAGGTGACCCAGACGGACCAAGAAGGATTCTGAGTTAAGATGCAGAATTGCCAGTTCTGGCTAAGCTTGTTTTACTTGATCAATGGAACGGAACAGACATTTCTAGTGCTCTTGTTTTTAAAAATGTTTTAAAGTGGCTGGGTTGGCAGGTCACTTCCTATCTCCGGGCCACAGTGCATTCATCTGTATAAAAGACGGAAGAAAGATGGAACCCGGGATTCCCAAGGTCTCTTCAAGCTCTCAAGTACAAAGTTCTTTAACTTCAAAGCAGTTTATTGGTAAGCCAGAGAGAGGCCTCGAGCTAGGTATCGGTCATGGGGTGAATCTCAGGTACGCTCTTCCCTTTCTTTCTTCTCATAACCATTTCGTGCGCTGGAGAGGGATGGGGCAGTCTGTCTCTCCCAACGCAGGCTCTAACATATGCCATTGGCCTATGTTAGCAAAGAATGAAATCTTGGGCTCTCCCTCTCACGAATTCATGAGAGATCTCAAGAGGACTGAGTAAGTGTGAGCCTCCGTTTCCCCATCTGTGAAACAGGGAGAGTTACCGGCAATGGTGTAAAAATGTCAAGAGTTGAGCAACAAGCGCTATTTTCTATAACCGTTAGGAGCACTAAGGAAAAATAAACTGCGGTGTCGTAAGTACGCTACGGCCCTCTAGTGACCAGACGAGCACCACGCCACAGTAGTGCCTCCGTGAAGCCGCTTCCACATTTCTCTCGCACTGCGCGGTGGCATGGCCGCGCGGATCCACGGAACAGCCTAGCGCTCGGACGCCAATCATCGCGGATCAGGCTCAGCTCCCGGGCGCACTGCGCGCTCCTCGGCGGACGCGCTCCCGCCGCCAACGTGCGCGCTCCGGGCGCAGGCGGTGACGCCACGCTGGTGGGGGCTGTTTGGGGGTGCGGCTCCGGGAAAGGAGCGCGACCTCCAGGAAGACGGCTGGCCGTTGTTGCCGCCTCGGTGCGGTGGCCGTGATGCTGCCCGCTGGCGGTCCCCCGCTCCCGGGAGCCCCGGCCAGCCAAGCAGGTGAGGCCGTCTTCCGGGGCCGGGTGAGAGGAGGGGGTAGGCCGAAGGGGTCGGCGTCGGCTGGTGGGTTGGAGCGGGCCGCGGACTAGCCTCTCGGCTCTGGGCGCCTGCCTACGCCCGCTCAGCCCCGCGGACCGCTTCCCGCCGCCCCGGCCGCGCGGCCACATCTGGGAGCCCGGGTACCAGCCCCCGTGAGCCCGGGGGGCCGGCGCGCTCCCCCAGCCCCTGGCAGGGGACACCTGGCGGTCGCGCGCGTCCGGTGACCGCGCAGGATCCCTCCCTCGAGTGGGCGGCGCCTGGCCGGGCAGCTGGGGATGCTGCACCGGGGACGCAGCCGGCCCTGCCTGCCGCTTTCAATGATGACATTCGCACGTCTGGTTTTCACTTCACTCTGCTTTTACAAGGTTTCTTGTTAGATTTCTTCTTGGAAGAATGGAGCTCATTGGGCAGTAAAGTGATGATATACAGCAATGTTTCTGAACTTGAGTAATGAGGGGACTCCTAGAGGGACGATTCTCAGATTGTCTAGAATGTGTCCCAGAACCCTTAGGGTACTCCAGACCTCAGTTAGATAAACCCTGTTGCAGAGTGTTTTCAGAGAACATTTATCACGAGGGAAGCCAAAGAGATGCTTTATAATTCAGGAACTTTCAGGCTGTAAGGTAAACTAGAGGTAACTGAAGAATTCAAAGGAGAGACTCAAAGCCCAGGTTAATTTCACATTGCAGTCTTTGTTGTCTTCTGCTTTCTGTGATGAAAATACCAAATTATCCAGCTTTAGAGAGGCCTAAAAGAATTATATTGTGTTACCGTATATTTGACTTTTTTTTGTATTTTGTTGATTCTATTTGACATTAAAATTATAAAATGGAATACTAATTTGTATAGTTTAATTTTTTCTCTGTTTATCTTAACATTGATTTATCTCTTATAGTTGTTGCTTATTGAATCTATGGCTTATATTCTTCTAGCCCTAATGGGAAAACAAGGGCCTGTGTGACCCAGGCCCTTGAGGATAAGGAAAAAGAAACTGCGGTGTCCTAAGTACGCTGCGGCTGGCTCGTGAGCAGACGAGCTGGTCCTCTAGGAAGGAGAGATGAAAGTGAAAATTTATCTAAGGATTTATATTCTCTACATATTTATTCAGCATGTTTATTTAAAATAGACTACCCATGAACAAAGAGATGATTCAAAGTGGGAAAAAATCAGGATGTGTGACAGGTTAAATCTTGACAAAGAAAAATGTCGGCCTGTGCCTTGAAAGAAGTGCAATGTTGAGAGGAGGACACGGTGGTTGGGAGGAAGTGCAGTTAGTAAATTTGCCTGAGGCAGGCGTGGGGACAGCTTGTGTAGGAGAGAAGTAAGAGACCTGCGGCACTGGAGCGGAGAGATGGTATCTGGGACTGATGAGGGCCAGATTGCTGAGATAAGGTGAATCAGTTGATGGAGAAAAGGTTTCAGGTGCCACACAGGAAACTTGGTATTGATCCATGAGCTTCCAGAAGGTTCTTTCTTAGCTGGTCATATTTTGAAGGCTGTGTTTTACGAAGAGGTGCTTACAGAGCATAGTGTGCACAGTGAAGGCAGAAGGTGACAAGACATCTGTCTTGAGGTAGTGATGCCTGCTGTGGTCATCTTAGATATATGGGATAGCTGAAGAAGAATCTGCAGGCTCGGTGAATGATAAGATATGTCAACGCAGGAAGTGGGAATCAAAGCTGAGAGCCAGGTAATCCAGGTCAGTCAGTGGTGATTGGTGATACTCATCTTACATATGGAGAATTTGGAGGGTGATACTAGTTTGCATCAGAAGATTTCAACCCCAGACTTGGACGAAAGGTGTAAAAATGTCAAGAGTTGAGCAACAGTGCCCTGTTCTTATTAGATTTTGCAGTAGCAGGGCTTCAGTGAGCTTGGATTGTGGAACTGGAATTTGAGAAAAGTCAGAGTTGATGCAGGAAAAGTGTCCAGAAAAAGACTATTTAAAATGGGAACCAGAATATTGCAAATGAATAGTGAGAGGTAGGAAGAGGTTAAGGCGTTACGTTAAAAAATAATATGTTTAAAACAAATATTGACGATCATACAGATCATAAATGTAACTATGTACATGCTTCTTAAAGAGTGAATCAGGTTGTCTTCAGGGTTTTTTTTGTCACAGCTGAGTATCGGTGCTGCGTGGCAGCCTTCACATCGGCCACTCACTCTCAGAAAGATAGTTGTTTCCTGCAAAATGCTGTGGGAATGGTTGAGGGCATCTTTAATTTTTCCAGGTTCTCTTTAATCCTTTGATATTTAAGTCATTCTTTTCTGAAGTACCCCCTCCTTATGGCACCTCTCCTTATTCAGAGGCCAAGCTCTCCCAGAGGCTGACTTCTCTGTGGTTTTGTTTGTCTGTGATTTGAGAGTTCACTAATATCTGCTTCCTTGTATCTTGTATTTTTTCATTAGAGGAACCATTTCCCTTTGTGGTTGATTTGAATTGTTTTTGTTTTTTGTCTGTAGAACTGTCAGTGAGAGACTGACAAAGACATTGACACCTGACCATGGGCTTTATTCCAGTAAAGAACGTTCAGCCCAGCAGAGCCGCACTAGCTGAGATCATGAGAGTTAATGCATCTCTCTGGTTTTTAGGTCTAACACAATTTAGGCCTTTTTAAAACATGTAAGTTTTATGTAGTAGTACAGAATTTGCCTCCCAGCCCTGGTGCAAAGATTCTTAGCTGGAAGGAAAATTGGAATTTACATTTGAAAATCAGATTACCGTATTGTTAACTTTGGGACAATAATCCATCGTACTTTTGTCCTGAGTAAAAATTACAGTGCTTCAGCAGTTATAAGCTGTCCTATTTTCTTGCTTTTAAACACAAGTTTTGTAAATTAAAATATCTTTCCTTTTGATCGAGATCCTCACATATCTTAAAAAAAGCAGTCCTGGCCGGGCATGGTGGCTCATGCCTGTAATCCCAGCGCTTTGGGAGGCTGAGGTGAGTGGATCACGAGGTCAAGAGATCAAGACCATCCTGGTCAACATGGTGAAACCCCGTCTTTACTAAAAATACAAAAAATTAGCTGGGCACGGTGGTGCGTGCCTGTAATCCCAGCTACTCAGGAGGCTGAGGCAGGAGAATTGCCTGAACCCAGGAGGCAGAGGTTGCAGTGAGCCGAGATCACGCCATTGCACTCCAGCCTGGGTAACAAGAGTGAAACTCCGTCTCAAAAAATAAATTAATTAATTTAATTAAATAAATAAATAAACAGTCCTGAGACAAACATCAGATGACACAAAGTTTCCTAAATGTGCTGTGATCATTCTCGCAGTCACCTTCCCCTTCGAAGTGTGTTCCTTTCTCACCCCATCCAGAATCGACCTCCCACCTTTAGGAATCTCTTCCTGCTAAAGCTAGCCTTCACTGTGCTCTTCTGAGCTCTTACAACATGAATCTGAGTAATTTAACACTGCCTTTAATTAGTATCTTGATTATTTTCTGGGTATTAATATTTTCACTACAGCAATCTGCAAACTCCTTGAAATTTGATGTCAGGTTTGTTACTTCTCATGTGACCTCCGTAGTCCTGACTTTCTTCCCAAGGACCAGTTTGCTTTTAACCATGACTTCAAGCTGTTAACTAAAACATTCTTTTCTTTGGTTCTCAGTTCAGCTATCACAGAAGTATTAAGGATTTTTTTTTTTAATGTTCAGATTGGAATTCCTATGTCCTAATAGGCTTTTAGGATAGGCTTTCTCAATATGTTTAGAAAAGGATTTGATCCTGGAAACAAGATACTGTCAGTCAAATGTAGCTTGTTAAAGACAGTTATGTCTTCTGATGATAACATTAATATATGTCCTTTGAAAAATATAGGCAAGCCTAGGGAAAAAAATAAAGATGATACCTGCTCATTGCCCAGAAATAACTAAGCACTGTTAACATTTTGGTTTCTTTCCTAACATTTGATCCCCCCATGCATGGTGACATATTTTTTGCTTAATATTTTATGAACATCTTTTCATGTCAATAAATAGATCTGTATCATCACCTGTATTAGTCACATTGTATTCCATTGCATGAATATACCCACAGTGGACATTAGTGTTTTGCTGTTATACACAATACTATTATGGACATCCTATAGTATTTTAGTGAATTTACCCTATGACTTCCTAAAGATGAATGTCTGGAAGTGTGATGCGTAGAGCAGAGGGTAGGCACTCATAAGTGCTCATGTGTGTCACCCCAGTTCCCCCGGAAGGTTACTGATGTGCCTGTCAAGAGTCTTCCCAGCAGTACTCATCGCTGACCTTTTCTTTCCCTCTGTCAGCCAGGTATCACCAGGCCTTCATGTCTGCCAATCTGATTGCTGTTTCTATTTCTATTTGAATACTGATAGGTCTATTTTATCAGCTATTTATATGTTTATTTTGATCACCTCAAATTGTCTTTGCTTATTTTTCTGTTCAGTCTTTCTGTTATTTCTTTAGAAGAACTTTTGATACGTAAAGCTCATTTGCTCTTTGACATGCATGTTACAAGTACTTTTCCCAAGTTGTGTGTATTCGTAGCGGGGAGGGATTTTTTTTTTTTTTTTTAAGCACACAGAAGTTTTAAACTCATGTGTAGCTATTTTATAAAAACACATTAAAATCCATTTAAACATCTAGATAATTGATTTTTTTTTTTGCATTTTGTATAAACGTTTAAATCACAGACATTGTTCTAGATTTGGGGTACATGGTACAATATGGATACCATATTAAAACTTGAAATAATTAAAGTGCCTTTTTTCCCCTTTGTCAGGTAGGCATTATTAATACTTTTTACTCTCTAATATCTGTGTATGTATGTTTTATTTCCTCCACTGCACTATAGATTCTTTAAGGTCTGAGTCTATATCTAATTCGTCTTTGTGTATCCCATTTTCAGCCATTTGTGAAACAGACAATAGTTACTTATCATTTGTGTGGCACTGGTCACTGGGGAAACAAGAATAAGAGGCTGTCCCTGCCCCTGTGGGGCTTGTCATGTAATGAGGAAGTCAACTACAAGTGTAAAATACTTGAGCCCACTGCTATGATGAGCAAATACTCTGGGATATGAGGATTAGGGAAACTTAGTGAGGACTCATGCTTGATTTGTGTCAGGCGCGATTCTGAGGAATGCAACCGATGGACCCAAAGGAGAGGTTCATTCTGCAGATGCCAAGGAATGCAAGGCATTTCAGTGATCTGCAGCTTGTGTTTCATGTGGCTGGAACCTAGGGTACATAAGAGGGGCCTGTCAGAGGATGAGACAGAAAGACAGGCCCCAGATCAGTATTGTGCAGAGAACTTTCTGTGATGGTATCAGTGTTTTATGTCTGGACTGGCTAATGCAGAAGCTGTGTTGGCTGTCAAGCACTTGAAAGGTGGCTAGGACAACTGAGGAACTCAATTTTTAATTTTATTTAATTTTCATTACTTTAGTCACACGTGGCAAGTGACTACATCAGTGGACCACACCAGACTAGATCATGATGGACATCTTTTACATCCTAAGGAGTTGGGACTGTTTCCTGAGTGAGAGATAAAAGTTCGGGGGTGGGGAGTTATGCTTCTCTTTTGTTTTGGAAAGATCACTCTAGTGTAGAGATTCTTAACCCTTTTGGGTCCCAGAACTCTAAAACTTGACTTTTTGCCAAGCCCTATCCTAAGGTCTGTAAAGCTGCAGCTGTAGCACTCAACTGAGCAGACCAAAACCTGGCTCTGGGGGAGCTCCCATTGTGGAGGAAGAGACAAAAAAGAAACGCAGCATCCGCAGTATGCTAGAGGACAGGGATGAGTGGATTCTCACTCTTGCCTCCCACCTCTCCCTCCCAGGAGCTGTGTGACCTTAGACAATTTATTAACCTCTCTGCCTCATCTGTAAAGTGTTGTGATAATAGTACCTGTCTCCTAAGTTATTAGGAGGACAAAATTAGTATTTGTACAATGTGTGGAGCAAGGCCTGGCACATAATGAGCACTACATAAGCATTTAACAAATTCGTAAATGCTAAGGAGAAAAGATCAATTGGGGAAGGGAGTTGGTGCGGGGCAGTAGGCATTGCAGTTATTGATCGGGTGACCAGGGAAGTCCTCCTTGAGAAGGTGACACTCGGGTAAAGACCTGAAGGGAGTGAACAAGTGAGTCATACAGATTACTTACTAGCAGAGGGGGCCACAAGTTGAGAGACGCTGAGACTGGAGAGTGCCTGGCGTTTTTGAAGACCACTCAGAGCACCAGTGTGGCTGGAATGCAGTGTAAAGGAGGAGACTGTAGACGATGAGCTCAGAGGCTTAACAGGTGTCAGATCCTCTAGGACTTGGTAGCTTGGAGTCTTTTGAGTATAGAAGTAATCTGATCAGCGTCCTGAGCAAGGGGTGGGAGAGTGGAGCTATCAATTTCAGAGGAAGAATCTGTGCAGAGGGAGGCAGCATTGTGGGGCCACTGGTTGAGACTGCGGGTAGAAGATGAGTGAGGCTGCTCTTTTGGTAGAGCAGGCAAGAGATAAGAGCCTGACCTCAGGCAGAGGTGATAAAGGGATTTTAGATAAGCTGAGGTTAAAGAAATTAAAGGAATCAGTAAAAAATTAGATTTGGAAGATGAAGGAAGAGGGATCAGGCATGAATCTGGTTTCCGATTTGGATAGCTTCATGGGATCAAGATTGGGACTGCAAGGGCAGAGCAGATTAGGAGAAATAGGGGTGAAGATTGCTGCTGCTAAGAGTGCAGTTTTAGAACTTCCTCATGGTTCTCTGCAACATTCAAGTAGAGATCGCTCATAGGCCACTGAAGAAGCCTGGGGTGGAGAAAGACGGTTTTGAGTTACCTGATCATTAAAGCCTCAGTAATGATTGGAGGTAGAAGACAAAGAGCCTGGACAGAGATCCTGGAAACATAAGAGTAGTCGGGGTTGGCACACTTAAAGGATCCTGAGCAGTTCTTCCAGAGCTCAGAAGCAGACCAGAGGAACGGCTGTCTTGAGAGGCAAAGCAGCTTTTCATGACCAAGGAAAGAGACCGATTGTCCTTTGACTTCAGCAGATTGGAAGGAGGCCCTGGCTAAAGGCCCTATCTGTTTTGCAATTTGAGGTCTGGAGGCTGGAGGAGGAGTGATAATGATGGAGTCAGAGAACTAACTAGGGACACAGTGCCTTGCACAGTACTTTGTACATAAAAGGGAAGTCTAGGCCGGCATGGTGGCTCGCACCTGTAATCCTAGTACTTGGGAGGCCGAGGCGGGTGGATCATAAGGTCAGGAGTTTGAGACCAGCCTGGCCAACATGGTGAAACCCTGTCTCCACTAAAAATACAAAAATTAGCCGGGTATTGTGGCAGGTGCTCGTAATCCCAGCTACTTGGGAGGCTGAGGCAGGAGAATTGCTTTAAACTAGAAGGCAGAGGTTGCAGTGAGCCAAGATTGCACCTCTGCACTCCAGCCTGGGTGACGGAGCAAAACCCCCACCCCTCCAAAACAGGGAAGTCTAATAGACATTTATCAAGTGAATGGCTGTTTCAGGTTCACATTCAGCTTATTCTGCCTGCCTCCTACCTCCACCCCAAATCTCCCTTATACCATAAGGCATTTAAGGCCTGTTTGATAATTCCAATATTTTGGAGTCAGACACTTTCGCTTAGAGAGCACTAACTAGTGCCAGCGGATTATCATCTGCTTTGATTTTGGTCTATATTGGACAGTATGAAATTAACTTAGAAGTCTGTTGCTCAGCATAAACCCTTCCAACAGTTTCGGGACAAGGATCATGTAGACATTATATGTCGTTGGATTTAAGCACATGCTTGATAAGGAACATAAACATTTTCTTTGATTATGCTATCTTTGTGATTTGTCTCACTTCCTGGAACAGGAGGGCTCTAACTCCATGAGGACCCCAGCATTATTTCTGTAATTGTGAGAAGGACTGACTCCCAAAGCATTGCCTTGTCGCTGACCTTTCAGTATGGGGAGGTGAGTGATGGGCCTAATCACTATGAAACATGACATCTTGGTGACGCAAAAACAGGTCTTGAGAGAAAAAAGTCTAAATTGCAAGTGAAAAATGTTTACAGTTGTGCTGTTCTTCTGTTTAGTACCTTCTTCCGGGGCCCTCGGGGGGGGGGGGGGGGTGTTTTAATGCATGAAGCAGTCTTCAAGATGAAAAAGAAAGAATTAACTGTAAAATAATAAAATTCATGCCAAAGGCAGTGAACATTTTTTAAAGCCTAATAATATTTCTAATGAGCCTCTCATTCTTGACATACATTGAGGGGAAAAGTTCCTGATTATTTGCAAAAATGTCTTATAGGAATATTTCTGAAAGCTCAGGACATAGAAAACTCATTTATTGACTTTGTTATGGGGATGTTGTTAAAATACTGTTTTCTCCATTACTGGAGTCATCTGGGAGGAATTTTCCGTGGACTTCGCTGTTAAGAAAATGTATTCCTCCTGAGCTATTTGTGTATTTGTGGTGTAATGGGAAATGTTTTGGCCACTAGGATGCTCCGTCGCATTTGGAGCAGGCCCACCTTACAACATGCTTTCTCCATACTGCATTCCCGTTTGGTCTCATCATCCTTGCACCCGATTTTGTGATTGATTTATATATTTACGTTGTTGAACCTATTCTCGTAAGCTGTCTCTAATTCTGTATCTATTTTGGAACAAAGCAGGATAAAATGAAAATCTACATGATGCCGTCAAGAAAAGGGGAAAACACAGAAGTGTCATAACCATCAGGGCCTAATTCTCATCCAAATAATTTTATAATGGGTTGTGTAGCTGTTGTGTTGCATATGCAGAATGTCATTACACGGTTACCTGCAGGGAGGGAAATGCAGGTAGCTCAAGCGGAATATGTTATTTTAGGATCACTTTAGGTGAGGGAAGCCTCATTGAAGCAGATTGCTTTAAAATCTTTTCCTTCTAATTTCAGGATTGGCATCTCCTGTCTTTTTCCTGCTTCTTGGCATTTTAGCATATCTCCAGTGGGGTGTCCTCGAATTCTGAATACCAATTTACGCCAAATAATTGTCATTAGTGTCCTGGCCGCTGCTGTTTCACTTTTATATTTTTCTGTTGTGATAATCCGAAATAAGTATGGGCGACTAACCAGAGACAAGAAATTTCAAAGGTAAGAGATAAAAACATTTGTTTTCCAGACCAGAAGCCATTCCTTCTGTCTTACCTGTTTTAGGCTGTTGGAACAGAATTCCATAGACTAGGTGGCTTGTTTCTCACTGTTTTAGAGGTTGGGAAATCCACAGTCAAGTTTTCCATAGGTTTTGTGTGTGGTGAGGGCCTGATTCCTGGTTCTGAGATGAGGTCTTCTTGCTGTGTCCTTACATGATGGAAAGGGGCAAGGGGGCTCCCTGAGGTTTCTGTCCTCATGAACTAATCACCTCCCAGGGGCCCCTCCTCCTAATAGCATTGCGTTGGTGATTAGGTCTTCAGTGTATTAATTTCAGGGTTGGCAGCACAGATATTTAGACCATAGCACCATCATTTCATGGCTTCTCGACATTTGGCTTTAGGTTGGAATTTAAGGAACTGTAGGAACTAGATTGTGTACTATATACAACATGGCATGAACAGTTAAACCATTTGAAGCTAGTTAACTGCTAACTACCAAATCCGTATCATAAGAGGCCCTGGAATAATTATTTATATATAAATGTCTCCCATAATATGTTTTAAGCTGATTTTTGAGTTGGTAGATTCGAAATAGAATTTTGCATTTCGGAACTTGTTTGGACTTCCATGAAGGCATGCGTATCTGATTTTGATGATCTTTATCGTCATTCCTTGTTCTGTTTTCTTTTGACTCTTCAATTATTCTTCAGTTGCATTAATATTATAGTGGTGCTGGGGGCCGCAGTGGCTCTGGCCAGATGTCCTGGCGCTTGAGGAGGCGAGGCCATGAGTTCAAGGCCAACCTGAGGAACGTTATAAGCTCTCATTGATTAACCAAAAAAAAATATATATATATATATTATAGTGGTGCTGCTACATGGCTTAGAAATTTCTGACTTGGTATTTGTTGTGCTAGACTTAAGATGGTATTCTCTGTCTAAATAAAAGCATATATGTGTTTCTATACAAGGTACCTGGCACGTGTTACCGACATTGAAGCTACAGACACCAATAACCCCAATGTGAACTATGGGATCGTGGTGGACTGTGGTAGCAGTGGGTCTCGAATATTTGTCTACTGCTGGCCAAGGCATAATGGCAATCCACGTGATCTGTTGGATATCAGGCAGATGAGGGATAAAAACCGAAAGCCAGTGGTCATGAAGATAAAACCTGGTATGTAAATGAGAATATCTGCTTAGTCACCAGGGTCTGTCCCTTCATTCTCTGTGGTGTCTTCCATATTGTTCCCTTTCTGCACTGCCATCACCCTGCATCAAATCTCACACCAGGACCTGATGGGTTTTCCCTTTTCTGTCCATTTTGCATAGAGTGACTAACATCTTGATAAAACATCCAAAAAAAATGTCTTTTTGTCTCCTATAGCGTTTGAAATAGTGCCTTACTTATACTGTCTACTCAGAGGTTTGCTAGTTGGCATTAACTATGGAGAGTTTTTTTCCTATTTAGTTGCCATTGGTCTCTATCCTTAATGACAAGATAATTTTAGATAACTCATGAAAATCTATAATATATTGGAATATATTTGTCATTTTTAAAAATTGCTGGCCAAACATATTTCTAGTTATCTAGATTATTTGATAAGTATGACCATAGAACTTAGAGCTAATAATTATGTATAGTTTTAAAAGATATAATTTCTAAGCCAATGTGACATGTAAAAGTTTAGATTTGGCTTCCTTATTAGGTAATTTACATCAGTGATGCTGTTTTTTCTGTATCATCACCATTTCCATGGGCAGCAGCTTCTGTCAGGCGCATTTAGAATTGGAGATACTGGGAGTGCCTTGAAACAAGCTTTTTCTGTCTTGATAGTTGATCATCACTGATTTCAAACAGCGGACCATAGATCTTAATAGAGATGCAGCACTTTTATTTCATCTTATTAATGTATTACATAGTGAAATATCAAATGCAAACAATCCAAGAAATTTATCTTGTGAATTATTAGAGAATATTGATAAATAATAATTATTATAGCTTATCCCCATTTCAGAAATAAAATTTTAAAGTATATTAAGTTTAACCTGAGAAAATGCATGTCCTCATAGAAGAGTCCCCAGCCATGCAGAATGGTGACCTCTCAAGTCCTCATTCTTCGTGGAATAATTCAGACCCCACCTCCTCCTTCAGGCAGCCCTCAACAAGTTGATTATCCTTTGATGTGTGGCCAGCTGGGAACCAGCATATTTACTCAGAAAATCTAAAGTCTCTACCTCACTTTTCAGGTTAAAGAGAGAGAACCTAGTCTGCGTCTATATACCAGCATTATTTAATCAGAGTACATTTCCATGAACAAAGACTAATTTTTCTTTAAGTTTTAGTGACTGTCTTTTCAGTTTTCGTTTTATGCATTTCTACCCCTTAAATTGTCATGTATCCCTAATCTAGAAACATTTGCAGAGTCAAAGTAATACTGATCAAATAAAAAGTTTATGAGAAGACTAAAAGAATAAAGCATTTTGCATTTCATCTAGCTTCATGTGCCAGGTCCCATCAGTGACTAAACAGGTCTCATGGAATAAGATGAAAACTTCCATGCCTTGGAGTTGTCCTTTTAGAATAAAAAGTCATCCTGGAGTATATACTAGAATCTCATTAAAATCAGACAACAGGGGTCCATCTTGCACTATACAAAGTGTATGAAATGGAAATCAAAATACCCTTTTATAGCACTACTCTGTCCTGACACATAGACGTCCATGTATAGCATTACAGCAAGGCTCTAGAAATTTCCTTAATAGATTCTGACTAGTTTAGGGCCTCAAGTGCATTGAAATTGTATTGTATGTGGAGTGAAATGATCTATAGTTGAGTCCATTTTTTGCTAATTCCTGTGATAAATCACTTAATCTTTCTGGGTTTATAATTTTCTAATGTGTGAAATAAGGAATTTTTAGACTTCTAAAGTCCCCCTCATTTTTAACATTGTAGGCAAAATAACACCTAGAAATACTCATTTATGTACTCAGTTAGCAAATATATGATGGGCACCTGCTATTTGCTAGGCACTGTGTTAGGTGCTGGGAATATAAGTTTGAACAGACACATTTTGTGCCCTTTAAGTTTTCAGTTGTAATGCGACAGGCAAGTAAATATCTAATTTTGATATGGTGTAATGAATGTACATCTAGCAAAAGGAAGTAAGCATGGAATTTAATGAGAATCATCTTCAGGTTTCTGTTAGGGTGACTTCCATGGAGGCTGGAGTCGAGTGGGTGTGCAGGAGTTAGCCAGGTGAAAAGGGGTAAGGAGGTGGACCAAGAAGATTCTTCCTGGTGGTGGACGAGCAAGGCTCTAAGGCCACAGTAAGGTGCATTATGGCAAATGTTAGTTCACTGTAGCTGAAGGCAATGGAAGGAACGTGGGAAGAGATAGGGTGGGTGAGTTATGCAGAGCTGGGTGTGCTGTTCTAGAGCTAAACCTTATCTGGTGGGTACTGAGCCACAAAAGAACTGGAGGCCTAAAGAGGCATCCTTTGGGTGGGGAATGGCGGGAAGATGGTCAGGATCAGAGGGTGGAATGTGTGGTGGCAGGCTGGCAGAAAGTGTGTTCAAAGGGATGAGGAGTAAAGTCATGGGAGAGGACCGGGGAAAGGTGATCTATGAAACCCAGGTTGCATGTTGGGATGAGGGAGAGGGGCTTCATCTGAGACCCTAGCTTAGGCCACTGGTGCCAATGCTGATTGCCTCTGAGGGAGGTAACCAGCAGTGAGAGCAGGTTTGTAGCGAAAGTTGGGTTCAGATTTTGCCATGATGCGTTGGGGGTGGCTGTGAGGACAATCAAGGGTAGTGTCCAGTGGACAGTTACCCCAGCTCACCTGGAGGCTAATGAGTGCTGCATGGCCGGTGACACAGTTCGGAGTTCATGGCATGCTGTTGGTGATAGCAGCCTCAGGAGGGACTGAGCTCACCTGAGGAGACGGGGAGCACGTGTCTTGAGGGCAGGCAAGAGTCCATGTGCATGGCAGTGACACACAGCAGATGCTCAGTCAGGTCTGCAGGCTTTGATGAAGGAGAAAAGGACATAGCACTGAATATTTAGTGTTACCAGCATTTAAGTAAGGTCTGCAGAAGAAGCTGCTAGAGGGATAGGAAAAACTAAGAAAGTGTAATGTGTAGCATGATTTCCCTAAAATTAGCCACACTGAAGAAACGTCACTTGTTATAGCTAAAATATCTGTTGCTTAACTACAGTATCCTGTTTCTCTAGGCATTTCAGAATTTGCTACCTCTCCAGAGAAAGTCAGTGATTACATTTCTCCACTTTTAAACTTTGCTGCAGAGCACGTGCCACGGGCAAAACACAAAGAGACCCCCCTCTACATTCTCTGCACGGCTGGAATGAGAATCCTCCCCGAAAGGTGATCTTCCATGGAAGGGCAAGGCTGAGGGTGGGCTCCTGGTGGGGGAAGGAGTGTTCTCCTCCCTGGTCCTCCTCCCTCCCCTGCTCCTCCCCATCATCATCATCATCAAAAGGAAGACATTCAGAATTCTTTCTTCAAACCTGGAATAGTACCAGAACTATTCCTTTAGCCAGAATCCACCAAATATCTATTAATTGACTTACGACTATAAATAGTCAACTATAAAGTTGTCGTTTTTAAAAACCTAATCTATTTTATGTAGTTAAGGAAGGAATGCTTGCAGTTGTAGTTTTACATCTAGAAATCCCATAATTCACACAACTTGTTCATTTTGAAAATGCATTCCTAATATAAGCTTTCCAATGAATTTATTTGTTTTGGAACTTGTTGGATACAAGGTATACCAGAGCCATAGTTTGTTTTTTTCTTTTGGAACCAGAAGATTTCAAGCTGTAGTCTTTTGATGTGTAAATGTTTGTGTTGCCTTATAGCCAGCAGAAAGCCATTCTGGAAGACCTTCTGACCGATATCCCTGTGCACTTTGACTTCCTGTTTTCTGACTCCCATGCAGAAGTCATTTCTGGGAAACAAGAAGGTTGGTATAGGGTCTTCAGTTTAAAATTTGGGAAGCTATTCCTTTAAATCCTCCCCACTTTCACCAGTGTACACCTTGTTATACTCCTGTTATCTTAATATTTGGGAAATAATAGCCTGGAAATACTATAATTTTTAAATGACTGAATCAGTTTCTTACATGACTGGTCTTTGTTGCCCAAACATGAAGCCATTGAAAAATAACTGTTTGTCTTCACCACATGTAGGGACCTAGCTTGATACAAACTCACTTTTATAGAAAAGGCTGTGTGCCTTGCCTAAGTTGTGTGGCTTCCTGGGACTTTGATCATTATGGAGTAATTAGAGCTTCTTCTCGACTTTGATACACCAAGAAATATCAAATATTTGTTCTATTTTCAAAGAAATGATTCTACTTGAGAATGAAATGTCAAGTCAATGAAATTATTTGGGGAATAGCTTGCTAGAAATGTATACCAAGAAGTATTTCAAAAGTCATCTGTCATTTCAGCATTAATTCCTATATGGAAGACACGGTAGAGAATACAAAAATGGGGTGAAGTTTACACGTTGCCATTAAGCTGCTTACTGACAAATGAGGTCCACAATTAGCTGTTCTACAAGGGTTTTAGGTACCAGAAAAAAAATAAGGAAAAAAATATCACAGGAGTTTGAAAGAGGGAGGCATTTTTTCCCCCCAAGTAGGGCCATGATGGAGAAATCTGAACTGCACCTCAAGGGAAGGGATAGTTTTACATAGAACATGCCAGAGCATGGGAAGGGTGGGGCTCTGAGGGCGCATAGGAAGCACATGCCAGACAGAAGAAAGGACTGGACTCAGTACAGGTTGGAAAGAATTCACTGTGGACAGAGGAACACAGATGTTTTGGTTTGACTGGATGATGGCCCTTCTGGAAGGAGTGGTGGTAATGTTAGTGGTTGGATGGCTTTTGAATTGTCAGTCCAGGAATTTGTACTTCTTTCTGTAGATCAATCCAATAGCAGAGGGTAGAGCAGGTTGCAACAGAGGAGTAGGGTGCAGATGGATTAGATGGGCCAACCCCACCCCCCCCACCATGGTTTAGATCAAGGTGACAATGAAAACCAGGTGTAGGGAATGTGAAAATAGAATCAGACTTGGCAGCTGAGTGAATGGAGGGATAAAGGAAAGAGTAGAAGATACCTTAATTTTTTTTTTTTTTTTTGAGATGGAGTCTCACTCTGTTGCCAGGCTCGAGTGCAGTGGCACAATCTCAGCTTACTGCAACCTCTGCTGCCTGAGTTCAAATGATTTTCCTGTCTCAGCCTCCCAAGTAGCTGGTTCTACAGGTGCACACCTGTAGAACAGCTAATTTTTGTATTTTTAGTAGAGATGGGGTTTCACCGAGTTGGCCAGGACGGTCTCGATCTCTTGACCTCGTGATCTACCCACCTCAGCCTCCAAAAGTGCTGGGATTACAGGTGTGAGCCACCGCATCCTGCTGATACCTTGAATTTTTAAAACCTTGGACTTGACAGGTTTTACACCATAAAAGTAAAAATTTCAGTATTTTAAAACAACTACTAAATTTCAAAAGAAAACTAACACCTAGGGTATTATATTTTCAACCTATGTAGATGGTATAAAACTAAAATATTAAAGGTGAGAGATCTTGGAAAGCTTTTTAGAGTAATAAAAACATCAGGGGCAAGGTGTTATTTCAGACGATTTTACAGGTTGTCAGGGAGTGAAATAAATGAGACATTTGTACAGACTGCACTGATAAGAGTTACACAAAATGTTTTAAAACTATTTTTCTTCTCTCCACCCTGTAAAATGTCTATAGGTGTGTATGCTTGGATTGGCATTAATTTTGTCCTTGGACGGTTTGAGCATATTGAAGATGGTAAGTATCATGTTTCCAATGAATGTGTCTAGTTGGAAATCAGTGCTTTTCTGTTTAATCCATTGGCTGAAAAAAGAGCTAAGCTTTGTGACACTTCTAAGCGTGTGGGAGTAGAATGAGAGGAGCTGCAGTTGAACACAATTCAACTTGATTTTAGTTGGGAGGATAGACTGGGTTTGCCTGAATGTGCTTGAAATAGACTGTGAAAAGAAGGTGACTCTGAAGAAGAACACAGTTCTCTGGATTAGTTCTGTTGCAGTGAACACTTTCTGTTCTTCCCAGATGATGAGGCAGTTGTGGAGGTTAACATTCCCGGAAGTGAAAGCAGCGAAGCCATTGTCCGTAAAAGGACAGCGGGCATTCTCGACATGGGTGGCGTGTCAACTCAGATAGCGTACGAAGTCCCCAAAACTGTAAGCTTTGCGTCCTCACAGCAGGTCATTATCTGTACAAATTTCCTTCTGTTTGGTTTGGTTTTCATTTAACATGTGTCCATCGTTCTTGTTTTGTTTTCTGAGTGTGAACGTATCTTTACTGTGCTTGCTGAGGTGCCGCCTCTCAACCCGGGAGAACAGAGACAGGAGGAGCAAGGCAGACCTCAGCTGAGCCGCTTGTGTGTGTTCATTGAAATCAGCTGGTTTGTTTTCTGACCGTAGAGTTTTTCTTTGGTATATACACAGTCACATGCTTGAGTTTCTGTTTATATTTCCTCTTCTCTCATGTCTTTTCTCAACAGGTTTTATAACATGTAACATAATAACATCTGATTGTTTCAGTTAGAATTGGGGGCAAATTTTTTTTTAATGGCTCAGATTTTGAGCTTCCTTGGGGAGGATTAAGGTTTGTATCCACTGCTTCCACATCTTTCAAGGGGGATTTACTCCCACTGTTCTCCACCCTGTTCTGTGCCCTCTGAGTCGCTGCCTGGGCGACCTTGTCTAGAGAACCCTGGCACGGTTTCCAGATGTATTTCTGAATTGCTACACGTCTTTATTACTCTGTGTTCAGGTAAAAATTAACACCAAAGCCTAGCTTCCTGCATTTTCCCCTGGAAGGTGGGAGGCAGCATAGCATGGAGAGGAAGTTCCAGGTGAGACCTTGGAGCTGGTCAGGCCTGGGTTTCTTCCTCCTCCTCCTGACTAGTTGTGGGACCTTATGCAAGTCATGTACCTTCTTTGAGCTGTTTTCTCCATCTGTAAACATCAGTGAAACTACCTTTAAATGAGATAATGCATCCAGTATATCTGATGCACTGCCAGGCAGCTAGTATGTGCTCAATAAATGTTTCTGACATCTTTATTAAGCTCCTTGGAAAAATGCTTTGTAAATTCAAACAACTTTTGTTTCCTACCTCCCATTCTAGACTTGCCTCTAGAGACTGTTACGCGCTTGGTTAAAAAATCATGTTTTTCCCCCTCAATATGAAGTAAAAGATACATAGAAAGAATGTTTGGAAAAAATACTGAAAAATCCAGATTAAATATTTCCCATGGATTTATCCTCTAAAAAAGCCATTGTTAGCCTTTTGGTGAATTTCTTTCTTTTCATTTTTTTTTTTTCTACTCATAGTTTTAGGAATATGGTTATAATCTTAGTTTATATGATTTTTGTCCTTTATTTAACACTGCATGAGCATGTTTCTCCATAAGGTATTGATTACTGTAATTAACCTTCCCTTCTGTTACATACTTAGATGACATCTAGTTTTTTCTGTCATAGAATGACAAAGGATGTCTTTGCATATAGAAACATGTCCATGTTTAGGTTTATTTTCACAGCATTGGATTCCATAAATATATTACATCAGAGGGTATGAACTATTTCGCTGACTTCCTTTTTCAAAAAGTCAGTACACTTTTGTGTACTGTATCACAAATCTGCAGCCCATCTGAAATTTCCTAAATCAGAATTGTCATATTAAATTATGAAGGATGCTTAGAAGGGTCCTTGGAAAGTGCAGAAGCAGACATTTTGTCCCCCTTAGATGAGACTGTTTTCAGACCCTTCTTTTTAGTAGGAGGTTAAAGTAGTTTAAACTATTAAAGTTTGTTATCCTTATGTCTGCAGGAGGAAGTAGCTAAAAACTTGTTAGCTGAATTTAACTTGGGATGTGATGTTCACCAGACTGAGCATGTTTATCGAGTCTATGTGGCCACATTTCTTGGGTTTGGTGGCAATGCTGCTCGACAGAGGTATGAAGACAGAATATTCGCCAACACCATTCAAAAGAACAGGTAAAGCACCTTTCACTACTTGGCAGTCACTTGCAAACCTAGGTCTCTCCTCATAAAAAACAGACCCAGGCAAAGCGGGAAGAACTCAATTAGCAAAAGTGTGTTGCACTGTTAGCTTTTTATTCCCCCACTAGCTGAGCAGGGAGAAGAAATGAAGGCGCTTCGGGGTCCTGCCTTCGGCCTTCTGTCCCACCATGCCCTAAAGGAGGTGCCTGCTTGCTCTCTCTCTCACTTGCATCTCAACTGATGGATTAGAAATTTCACCATCAGGCTGTAGAATAGTGTGGAGCCCTGGGTGATGCTACTCCTGATTCAGAGTCCTTGGAAACCCAGGATCTAGAACACAGCTGGTGTCCTGGGGGCCTCAGGCAGTGTGTTCTCTTGTTGTTGCTGAGGAGATTGAAATTTGTGATGTTCTGGAGACTATGGATGAACCAGCCTGTGCAGCTAATTAGTGGGTAAGAACCATTGTGAAGGGAATTATTCAAGATAAATAAATTATCTAGAAGAGTCAGAGTTAGTGGCTTTTAAATTTAGCAATAAAACTTTTAAAAATTCAGTGTATGTAGAATTGTGGTATAGAAAATACATAAAACAAAACAGCACTCTTGGATTAAATTGACTTTATAAGTATATAGCAGTTATTTATTTGAAATTCGTCTGTAAGAACAGAAAAGCTATTTAGATGAATTAAAAATCTGAATCTGGGGTTATGTAAGATATCCTATTTATTACTGTGTTTTATTTGTTTATTTTGATGAAACAGTTTTGAGGAGAAAAAATCCTAATTCATAGAGCTAAGAGATTGTATACTTCCTTGATGAATGTAATCTTAATAAACCTATGAAGGCCTGAACCTTAGACCAAGTTGGAGCTGTTCAGTACCACATTTACCACAAAGTCATATGTGTAATAGGAAAAGCAATAAAAACCTTTTCCTATAATCTCTTCCAAAAGTTAACTGAATAATGTTAATTATGAGGTTGGTAGCCCCATGGTTTTGTATTTTTAATTGGTATTTAGCACATTTTGATATAATCATTTTTATAGTAGTCTTAAACTGGAAATATTTTATAAACAACACTTGAAACATTTTTGCAGATTCAATGAACACCTTATTCTGAAACCTTAATTTTTACTCATTGCTTTTAATGTCAGAAAGCTTTATATAATAGACTGTTTAGTGGTACTCCATAATTTAGTTATAAGACAACTAAAAGTAATAACATGAAATATATATCTGACTACTTTTGGAGTTTTTTTTGGTTGTTGTTCTTTTTAAGACAGAGTTTCACTCTTGTTGCCCAGGCTAGAGTATAATGGCACAATTTTAGCTCACTGCAACCTCTGCCTCCCAGGTTCAAGTGATTCTCCTGCTTCAGCCTCTCAAGTAGCTGGGATTACAGGCATGTGCCGCCACACCTGGCGGATTTTTGTATTTTTAGTAGAGACAGGGTTTCTCCATGTTGGTCAGGCTGGTCTCGAACTCCCAGCCTCAGATGATCTGCCCACCTCAGCCTCCCAAAATGCTGGGATTAAAGCTGTGAGCCACCACGTCTGGCCAGACTTTTATAATAATTACAAACGTTTCATATGTCATGAACTGAACCTTGAAGTACACATACATCTTTTTGCCATTTGTAGTGGTGATTAACTTTTTTTAATTAAGTGAACATTTTTATGGCAAAGACCTTAATTTATTACATTCAGCTGCATGATGAGTAGCCCTGATCTGAGGAATACATAACTTGTCAGTTAAGTGAAAAGTGAAAACTTGACTGTCGGACCATGCCTAACTCTCACAGTGAAACACCTGTCAGGCCCCTGTGATTTCATATCATCCAACACCAGCATCACTTCAGATGTTGAGAGCTCTTTTCTGTTTCTTGTTGCTTAAAGGTGTGCACACACAATAGAATGACATGTTCATTCCCAGAAATTTCATTAGCAAGTAATAAGCCTAGTGCCTTTCAGTTAACAAAGCTAACGTTTATTTTCTCCAGGGCTTCTCAGAGCCTATCTGTCATACAGTGGAAACTGCTGTCTGCTGCAGCTGGGACCCATCGTTGATGAAGAAAAAATAAGTTCAGACAGAATCATAAAAACAGACTCAGGCCTTAAACATTCTATCTTAAATTTTCGATTCATTTGCCGATCTTTTGCTCTGAACCCCAAGGTCTGTTTTTAGACTCCATCTTTACTCCGGCATGCACTGCACACCTCATGGAGATACCAGTTTGTCTTTGTTTAAAGAATACTGAGGACTTAAAGACATTTGCGAAGCAATTTGATACCAAATCCTTCTAGACTTTTACTAATTTTTCCCAGTTTTAAAGATCTTGCCCATAATTTTCTAGTAAGTTGTCCTTATGTTTTCTAAAACATCTAACCTGCTTTTCCCAGGACCAGCTATTTTCACAGTCGCGTTCCATTCAACTGTATTAGGTAAAACCACAAGCACTGGTAACAGAAATGGGGCTGTCAGCAACGCATTGGCCTTGTGCCTGGCATCTGGGAACCTCAGGCCATGTTGCCAGGATGGCCGGGTACGCAGATAGGTTGTTTACCTGGACTCAGGTAACCTGTCTGCTGCAGGCAGGTTTGTATCCTGACTCTCCAAGAAAGTCTCGAGTGCGTATTTTCCTAACTGATGATCTCGGAACCCTTTTCTGTTCCCACAGACACAGTCGACACAGTCCTGCAGGTCTCATGGCCCACAGAGAGTATTCTGAGAAACAGTGGTTCGCAGCCACCTCTTCAAAACACAGTTTTCTGTAGGACTCACAGTGAAGTTTCTTTTTTTGCCATAGGCTCCTGGGTAAACAGAATGGTCTGACTCCTGATATGCCATTCCTGGACCCCTGCCTACCCTTAGACATTAAAGATGAAATCCAGCAAAATGGACAAACCTTATACCTACGAGGGACTGGAGACTTTGACCTGTGTCGAGAGACTATCCAGCCTTTCATGAATAAAACAAACGAGACCCAGACTTCCCTCAATGGGATCTACCAGCCTCCAATTCACTTCCCGAACAGTGAATTCTATGGCTTTTCTGAATTCTACTACTGCACCGAGGATGTGTTACGCATGGGGGGAGACTACAATGCTGCTAAATTCACTAAAGCTGCAAAGGTACCTTGACAGTCGCCATCTGCTCCGCATGCTTTTGAGAGACCATTGTGGACAGAGACAGGTTATGTCCTCCCTTCACATTTGCAGGGAAAGACGGCATATGGAAGGCTGCACTGCAGCATGTTGGGATCCTGTTCCCTTTGGTTGGAGGGAGATTGAATAGTCACAGCAGAAATAAAAAATGTACTGTAAGCTGACTTCTGCCCACCACTCACTAGCTACCCTGGTCATCAGTTACCTCCAAATTTTACAGTCTCTTATGTCATTGTTCTGTTTTGCTGCATCTGACAGTTCTCCTGCCAGCCTTCCCGTCCCTGACTTACCAGGACACTCCTGTTCTCGTGTCCCTCTGCCTTCCTGATGACACCCCTGAAACTCTGGTGATGCCAGACTTCCACTCTTGGCCCCTGACCTTCAAGTTCTTGGATGGTCTCATCCATGCTCAGGATTTGCTGCTGCCTCTCAAGAAGAGGCTTCAGTCCTGACCCCTGCCTGCTACGTTCCACAACTCCAGACAAACCCACCATTTTCTCTCCATTCTGTTCCTGTTGTTCTGTCTAGGTTAATGGCATCACCAACCATCCAGTCCCCCTCCCTGCAGCCTAGGAGTCATGGACTTCTCCCTCTAACCAGTTCATCCTTTTCTATACACCCCAGTGTAATCAGTCACGGTGTGATGTTTTAGCTCCCAGATGTTTCTCAAAGTCATATAGCCACAGAGCACAGTATGTTGTAATCATGCCAGACAGCTGGCTTCCCTCACCCTCGGCCGTTTCTCTTCCTGAAGCACCTGTACCGAGCCCTTTGCGCAGACCTAGTGCGTTTCTCTTGTGCTCCCTGTCACACACCCAGGCCCATCTCCCGCCTCTCAGCAGCATCTTCATCCTTTAAATAGAAATCAGGATGGTAGCCACCTCAAGGAGTTAAGCATTACATTGACAAGACACACTTACACAGTGCTCAGTAGAAGTTACTAATATTATTACAAATAACTTCAGGAAAAGTGGGATCTCTTTCCCTTCTGTTAAAGACAAAAACCTTCTGTAATCATCATTTTCTCAGTGGCTTGTACTGTGTCCTCCACAGACAGAGGACTTAGTTTGAAGTAGCTAAAATACTGCTTGACTTTTCCAAAAATTTATGCCCATACTATATAGTCATGGAGGGAGAAACGAAACAGTTTCAGAGAGGCTGGTTGTGGACAGCAAAGTTCTCTTAACAATCCCCTGGGCAGAATGTTAAGGTAAAGCATTGTGTTTGCGCATCAGTAAGTATTCCCTGAGTATGTGTGTGTCTTGCATTCATTGTATAAGTTAAGCTTCTGTGTTTCCTAATGGGAAGGATATGCTTGTTACAAATATAAATTTGGTAAGCCATTTTTAAAATGAGAATTTTAATAAGCCTTTACTAGTGATTTCTTTTGGTGAATTTTTTTTTTAGGATTATTGTGCAACAAAGTGGTCCATTTTGCGGGAACGCTTTGACAGAGGACTGTATGCCTCTCATGCTGACCTCCACAGGCTTAAGTAAGTACTAGAAGGCCAAGCCCCAGGTCACTCTTAGAACCTTAATGCAGTGTTGGCACCACTGGCTTGCCATACCCGGGCCTCAGTCTACCTTCTCCTCACTCACTGTTCTTCCCATCTGCTCTGGGCCCCTTTCAGATGGGACGAATACTTGTGCCCAGGTGTATTCCATATGTCTTTTTTTCGGTAGTTTTACGTCTCTTCCCGCTAAAATTCCCCTGTTCATACCTTTGCTTGTTCAAGTCCTGCCCAGACATCTAAGTCCAGCTAAAGGCCATCCCTTTCCAGTCTTCCTCCGTCCCCTCAGTCAGACTTCATCCCTTTCTCTGAGTCTCTAGAATTCATCTTACCTTGCTAATGCATTTATCATGTTCCACTTTGTTTTTCTGTTGCTTTTAAAAAAATCCCTTTTCACTGTAAGTCACGTGCAGACACTGTATCTTATTAATTATTGTATCTTACTACTTGCTTAGCACAAGGCTTGGCAAAATATAAACCTCTAATAAATATTTAGAGTCTTAGAAGATCAGAGCTGAAAAGAACCCTCCTACCATCTCATTTTATAATAAACTGAAGTACAAAGATTTGAATCTGGTGTTCATTCGAGGAGTACATGGTGAAATGCCTGCGGGAAAAGAAACCTGTCTCAGGAGTACCTGACATGCCGAGACTGGGTTCATACACTAATTGATTTTGACAGGTGGACTGCTCTGTGTTGTGGGACCAGGGATGTGAAACGCAGGCAGCTGCTTTGGGGGGCCTGGCCTGAGGAAGCCCCTGCCCCACCCCCTGGCTGTCCACAGAGGGAAGGTCTGTGTGTGTGTGTGTGTGTGTGTGTGTGTGTGTGTGTGTGTGTGGTGCCATCTTGGCAGAGTGAGTCAGCCTGACTGGCCTTCGTGCTTGCCGTCTGTAGGTACCAGTGCTTCAAGTCTGCGTGGATGTTTGAGGTGTTTCATCGGGGCTTTTCGTTTCCCGTCAACTATAGAAACCTAAAGACCGCCTTGCAAGTGTATGACAAGGAGGTTCAGTGGACCCTTGGAGCCATCCTCTACAGGACCCGCTTTCTACCATTAAGGTAGGGCTGTGAATTTGGTACCAAACGAGAATCACAAAGATGCTTTTCTGCAGCGCCTCGTGGCAGCCGTGGCTTGTGGCTGTTTGGGGTGCTGCTCTTAGAGCCAGCTACGGCAGAACTATGGGGACACTGATGCTTGCTTTTGGTCTTCCCCCGCTCCCCACAAGGGCTTCCTCCCTTCCCACCCTACCATCCCATAATACACAGCACTCCAGTGTTACTGCCCCATGTTTGGTTATTCTCAACTGTCTGTTCCCCAACCCCTGCAAAAGGGTCAGTTCTGGGGTTCTTGACCTTTATGACTGAGGTCGCTTCTCAAAATACTGTTTTTAAATGCATGCATAAATACATAGGATTATAGAATAAACCATCATATTGAAATAGTATTTATTAAAATATTACAGAAAACAGGGTCGGGTGCAATGGCTCATGCCCAGAATCCCAGCACTTTGGGATGCTGAGGCGAGCAAATCCCAAAGTCAGGAGTTCGAGACCATCCTGGCTAACACAGTGAAACCCCATCTCTATTAAAAATACAAAAATGAGCCAGGTATGGTGGCACGTGCCTGAAATTCGAGCTACTCATGAGGCTGAGGCTGGAGAATTGCTTGAACATGGGAGGCGGAGGTTGCAGTCAGCTGAGATCATGCCACTGCACTCCAGCCTAGGTGACAGGGCAAGACTCCATCTTGGGGGAAAAAAAATTTACAGAAAACAAGTTTGTGATACAGTAATATGTGTTGTTCTTTGTTAACACATTAAATAACAGGATCTGGCAGCAGAATTAGTATTTTCTGTTATTTCAGTGTAGTGATGCGCATCAGTGATATTTTGAGGCATTGATGATACTATAATGTGACGTGAAAGATCTATGATTTTCATTAGTAACAAAGTTAGTTGCTGGTGTTGCCAACCCTAACAATAGTTTTATCTGCATTCATGGTCAGAGAAACGCTAAACTTCAGTCAGCACTTGGGTATAACAAAGATGTGCATTTTCCCCACTCACGTTTGCAGACCTGCTGTCAGTTAACCTGTGGTAAGAACCCGGGTTGTCTGATAGATGAGATATTCGCTCCCCCCACCCCCATTTAATTGAGCATTTCTCAGTAGTACTTTAGGCCGGGTTAACTGCAAAAATGGTGAGTCGTGGGTGTTACTGATCACAAGCATGCAGTTTGATTCCACGTTAACTGACTTCTGTGTGTCAGTGAAACCCTCACGGCTCTTCTAAATTCCTCTGATTTTGGTGACCCAAATTATAATGACTTCAGAGTATACTTTCATGTGTTATCTCATTGATAATTGGAAGTCCCCTACGTTGGGCTATTCTGTTCAGTTAGAGGTCGGGTTGCAGTTCCTGTGTGCAGCTCTGGGGCCTGGGCCTTGCCATCCCCTTGTGCGCTGTTTCCACCCCTTCCCTTGCTTACTGTCCTGTTTGTTGCTTGGTGTTCACTTGGGCAGAGACATCCAGCAGGAGGCCTTCCGGGCCAGTCACAACCACTGGCGGGGCGTCTCCTTTGTCTACAACCACTACCTGTTCTCTGGCTGCTTCCTGGTGGTGCTGCTGGCCATCCTGCTGTACCTGCTGCGGCTGAGGCGCATCCACCGGCGCACTCTCCGGAGCAGCTCGGCCGCCACCCTCTGGATGGAGGAGGGCCTTCCCGCCCAGAAGCCCGCCGGGACCTTGTGATCCGGCTCACAACTCCATGAAGACATGAAAGGAAAAGCCATTTTTGCCTCAGGGTTTCTCCTCTTTCTTTTCCTGTGGTTTTGTTTTTTCTTTCCCTTTTTTGTTCCTCTAAACAAAAACAAAATCCATTGTTTGTAAGCCCTGCTGACTAGAAGTACTGTGTTTAGCCATTTTAGGTAAAGCTTTAAATTGAGGAGTGGGGAAGAGGGAAATTCACTTGATTTTTGCTGCATAGGTTATCTGCCAAAAATAAATGAGATTTCTGGGGTTTCTTTAAGGAATGTTAAATTTAAACAAATGCACTTTGATACCGGAGGGACATGGAAAGACACATTCTCTCAATGGAGAGGGGACTGAATAGTGATGCTTTTATAGAACCAAAAGACTTACTGCCTGAAATGAGAATCCTCTTTTCTCTCTAGGTCTAACCTGAAGATGGTGACGTTTATTTTTTATTTATTGTTCAGGTCTGTTACTGTATATGTTTTCAGAGTTAAATTTAACTTTGCAGAGTTAAAATTTTTTAAACCATTTGTATCCCAAACAGAGAAATATAGGCACCAGGAGATAACCAGTTATAAAAGTGTGAGTGAACTATCAACCAGAGCTTTGTGTGAGTGTGTGAAAAATCCCAAGGAACCAGAGTAAGGGAAAGCAGCGCCGGTTCTCTAAAAATGCACTTCAGAATTTACTGGTTCATTCTATTTCGAAAAATCCTTGTTACTGTTATCTTTTCCTGACCACAGGTAATTACTCTCCTTATTCCATATTTCAGTGGCATTAGAACACTTTGATTTTGAAAGAATTGGAAAATTCCTGAAGTGTCACCAGTTTCAGTTTTATTAGAACTAGAGCACATGCTCACTTCTTGTTCTTCAGTAGTTCTCAGTAGTACTTTTGCTGAATTGTGCCTCAGTTTTTTCCAGCTTCCAACTGCTGTTTCCCCCACCTGCTTAATTAAAAGTCATCTCAGCTTTTAATTGTACTGGGAGAACCCGTGCAAAGCCCGCCGAGTGCTCGTCCTTACTGCTGTGGCCGAGGCTGTCGTTGGCGGTGCCACCGTACATCCAGAAGGGAAGAGTCTGCATCCAACACAGGAAGTAAATTCACATTTTGAAGGAAACAAATTTGACATTTTAAGCCAAAATCTAAAAAGGACAACTGGATTGGCATATGTGAGATTGGTTGTTTTTCACCTATTTATTTAGCTTAGAAGTTTGGGGAATTCTCATACAGTTGTTTTAGGTGCGGTTTGTTTTGTGCAGGTGTCTGTATGTGCTGTTCCCTAATTCCAGAACAGTTAAATTCCTGTAGTTGGTAGCAGACGTACCCAGAAGTGGCGTTGTTGCTATAACAGATAACTGAGGATATGGAAGTGGCTTTGCAACCAGGTACTGGTCAGAGGCTAGAAGAGCTTGAAGGAACAGGAGAGAAAAGGCCAGTATTGCTGACGACTGAGCACTAGGGGCAGTTCTGCTGAGGGATCAGAAGAAAAGACTAAGGAAATTCTGTCCCAGTATGGCTCACTGCCCCAGCTGCAGTTTAACCTGCCTCTCTGGAAGATAAAATGCATCTAACTAATCCTCGAGGCAAGAGCTGTGGGGGCATGGCTCCCTCCACTTAGATTTCAAAGCATGTTGCCAGCAGCCTGGAAAGCCTGGCAGAGCCTTGTCACAGGGCCAGAGGCTGGAGCCAGTTCATCTCCAGCAGTGTCTTGTGCAGCCGCAGGGTCTCACAGTTGTCCAGGTTGTTATCGGGCTCCTGAGGAGGCTCTGCCTATCTGGATTTGCCTGCATCGTATTTGTGCTTCTTGGTCAAAGCTGTTAAGAAGTGGGGCAGGCTTCTGGCTACCTAGTGAGTTACTCTTGGCCACCCCCCTGCAACTCTCCTAGAGGAGCCATGGGTCATTGGTGGGGGCTTCAGGGAGCTAGGGACAGAGCCACTAGGGGTCAGTGGCAGAGATAAAAAAAGGAAAGGAAGGGACCACAAAGGGGTGAAGTGGGCAGACGGGCACCCAAGGGAGTTAGGGGACCCCCGCCTTCCAGCTCTGGGCATAAAAGAGTTAGTCACATAACTGATGGTCCTGAAACAAGGGCTGAGAAAACCTCACTCCTCCAGCTGAGAGGCAGTAGTAGATTTGCCATTTTTAAACAATTATCTAAGAAAAAAAGGTTACAAATCTGCAACAGACACACTATATGTGGCATATAAAGCCTAGAATATTTGCTAAAATATTTACGGAAAAAGTGTGCTGGTCCTTGTGAGAATAGTGCAGCTCAGAAAAGGATATCGACAGCAGCATCCTCTTCAGTCAGGAACGCAGTTTCCATTTGTGGGCACAAAAAGATGGACAGAGAAGTAACCAAACTTCAATCTTAAAAGACTTGTTTATGTACCAGAATATCACATCTTATTTTTAGTTCTAGATTATTTTCAAGATGAATTTTCAAACAAACCAAGAAACCTGCCCCTCAAAATTTTGTGAAAAGAGACCAACCAAGGGAGTTCATTATGCTGTGTTGAGATGTCTGCAGTCACAGCAAATCACATTCCACAGAAGGTCTCATGGAGGTGAAGACAGGCAGATGCTTTCTCTAAGATACAGGGTGGGTGAGAGACAAGCCAGGGAGGAGCTTAATTCAAGAGAAGAATTCATATCAAGAGCTGGCCCAAGAAGGCAGTAAACGCTGTGTACTTGTGATAGAAAGCAGAAGAGAGGTCGGGCACAGTGGCTGTTGCCTGTAATCCCACCACTCTGGGAGGCTGAGGCGGGCGCATCACCTGAGGTTGGGAGTTCGAGACCAGCCTGACCAACATGGAGAAACCCCATCTCTACTAAAAATACAAAATTAGGTGTGGCGCATGCCTGTAATCCCCACTACTCGGGAGGCTGAGGCAGGAGAATCACTTGAACCTGGGAGGTGGAGGTTGTGGTGAGCCAAGATCACACAATTGCTCTGCAGCCTGGGCAACAAGAGTGAAACTCCCTCTCCAACAAAAGAAAAAAAAAAAAAAAAGAAAGAAAAGAAGGCAGAAGAAATTGGATTAGGAACTTGCCCAAAGCTTTGCCAAAGAAAAGTATTGTGTTTGATCTTGGTAGAAACATACTAGCAGTAAATGCTTAATGTTCCATGGCCATATCATGGGCTTCTCATTTTTAAACCTCCTCCAGGGGACATTCTCAGAGATTCCACAGTCCCTCTGGGGACGTTACAGTAGAAGAGTGACACATGGACTTGTCCAATGCTTTTTGCCCATGTTCATCCTAAGCTCTGGCTCTAGGCAGTGCTTTCTGACCTGGGCAGAGTGAAGGCGCTGCTGGTGACTGAGGCCAGTGACACGGGGGCCCTGCCCAGCCACTGAAGGCTGGGTAGGCCTCTTTTTTCACCACCAGTTACGCACCTGTACACTCTAGATTAGCAAGCTCTGGAGGAACAGATACTTATATTTTAAACTGAGGCCTACACAGAGTAGTTTTCCTTACAAGGAGCATATATCACAAGAAACTAAAAATGGCAAATGAGTTTTCCACAATTTAAGAAAACAATCAGCTTTAGAATTCTGTGCGGTCATGTGCAATGCAGCAAAACTACCTTTCAGTAAGTTATTTATTTATTTTGGTGTTTTGTTTCTTTTGATACTGAGTTTCCCTTTCAATAATGAATGATGTGATCGACCAAGGAGAATCTTTTGTTCTGTACTAAAATTCTGTTTTACAGTTAAGAATTATAAACAGCAAGGGAGCGTCTTTAAATGTTTTCTGTTTAAGTGATGTCTTCCATCCAAAGTAAGAATAATTCTCTTGGAAGGTCCTTGTCGTGTCCTGTCACTTGCTGTATGTGGCAGCCTTAATTAGCACACTTGGGTATTGAAAATCAATAAAAAAAAGTTCCTCATCCCGTGGCCCGTAGACTGTGTGGGATGTTTTCTTTTTATCTTTGAATCTTCTTACTCATTAGAAGGATGAGTTGCACTTGAGTCTAAATTCGATGGAATATGTTGTCTGAATCCGACGCACCCTCTTTGCATGTGTGGTGTTGCGTGTGCATACAGTGAAGCACAACTGTGTGGGTTGTGGAGAGGGAGTCCACACGCTCTGCAGCTCAGAAACCAGATAGTTCACAGGTAGTGACCAACCCACTGCTTGTGACGTTAAGCCATTGGCCAACGATAATTGCCCCTCTGTGATGACTATTTGTAAGTTCATCATTTTAAGGACCTACTTGTATATAGAAAAAGAAATAAAATTAACCAACTCTTATGTATTTCATAGTAACAGCAAATGCTGACTTTATATTATACCATTTTGCACTTCGATCTAAGCTTAGAGCCTTTGGCTTATTTCCAGACAATTATGACTGTCATTATTAATGTTACACGTTACCGATCTGGAAGGTGAAATTAGACGCTAAGCATATTTCTCAGCCATTGGGGAATACATAGATGTTCTCCTGGAGGAGGAGGTGGGCCTGAGCCATAACCTGAAAATAGATGATAGAGACAGATGGGAAGGGAAGGGGACCAGCTGTTAGGACCAACAAAGATTAAGGCCTGAGGGTGTTGAGAGGGAAGCGGAAAACAAAATGAGAGAACAGAGCGAGCAAAGTGAGCTCAAGAGGGTGCTCAAGCCGTTGACCGCCAGGAAGACAGGACGCAGCATTAAAACAGAACTTAAATAACTTTTGAGGAGTGCTAAATTCAGGGCGCTTTGTCCGAGTATAAATATGTTAAAATGTCTAAGATGGCAGAAGACATCTAAATGTTTATTCCACTTGGTGGAAGAGAAGTCAGTGCCTATTTCCAGCAGCTAACCACGTTAACACGTCTGAAAAGCCATGGTTCTGTGTTTTTGTTTTTAGTCTGTTTCCATTAGTCCTATGAAGTGCCATGCACCTTGTAAGGTTTTTTTGAGATCCTGAAACGCTAATGGTTTGCACTCAGGGGTCGTGGTGCTTGCCCTGGGTTGGGAGGAGAGAAGTGCAGGTCACCTCTGTCAGAGTCGTCTTCTTTTGGAAATGTCGTGAAAAGACAAAGGAGTGCCCCACTGATCCCAAAGCACGCCTTAGCAGAGTGGTGGTCTGCCTGGAGCGTCGGTGTCAGGATGAAAGGCAATCCTGTGGGAGTCTTCCCGGCCCCACCTCGTCTGGGAGCCTGTGGCCCTCTGATCCCACTTCCTTCTAACAAAAGAAGAGTGTGTCCTTGATGTGTTTTCTTTTGCTTTTAGTCAGGCTAGTCCCCCTTCCCCTGTGTTGTCCTCCCTCTTTCTATTAATAGATCCATTAAGGTTGACTGAGACCTGCTGCAGGGACACTAGGGGCACTTTGGCCTTCGATCTTTGCCCTTCACCCTTGACACGATTTGGCAGGTGAATGATATCTGGGCTCCAGACTTCATGGCCACTTAAACATTTCTGTCAACAGCCTGTGTCTGTTTGGTGGAAGAGGCGCAAACAAGAAAGCTAGACCTTCAGAAGGATTTCTGCCCTGCGTGAAGGACTGAAAGCTCCTCACTGAACACAGTGGCGACAGGCACAAAAGACAGGCTTCTTGTTTAAATATGTGAACTCAAAAGACGGAGGTAAAAGGAGTTTTTTTTCCTCCAGTTCAGCCAGTCATCAAACATTTCAGGCATCTTGTGTTTTGTCAAGGGATTGGGATTCCAGTGGCCCCTGTTTGACTGAAAGGGGAAAAGCTAGTTGTGGCAAGGTCATCAGAACACAAAGGAGCAGCTTTAGAATCCCCAATGTGGGTCTTTCATTGTGTTGTTTCTAAAACGTCCAGTCCTGGCTATTCGTGCTGTTCTCTCAGGCTTCTACTTGGGAGTGTGGATACCACCTTTCACCCTTTTTTGCCTTCATGAGAATCAAGAGTTTGAAGGGTTCAGTTCTGAAAATATCAATCATCTTATTCTTGCCTGTGATCATGTAAGAGTTAAAAGCCAAGGACCAGACTTAGCCTTCCTTCTCCTAAGGTTGCTTCTTCTCCACCTGGCCCAAGCTTTAATACCCACATTTTAGACTCAAAATACTTAAACATTTAGCGAGTTCTCCTCAGCCTTGTAAAGTTTGTTGATGCTGGTCATGGCAGCACAGGAGAATTTTCCGGAAGTTCCTAAGGGTTTCCTGTAACATTCCAATTACACTTTAAAATCCTCTCCCACCTCCCGTGGCCCTGTTGTCCATCAATGTATCTGTTTCCGCCCTAAATGCCCTTGAACATGGGCCGTGACAGGTCCTGTGTTTACTTTCTGTGTTTCTACATTTATAACCCAATAAATAAGACACTGTGTAGTACACAGTATTTCATAAATATTTGTAAACTAATCAAAATCTGGTTTCTTTCAGAAATCACCTCTTTAGGTTTCTAGAATTTGTGAAACAAATCTTTTAAGAATCTTTTATTCTCGACCTTTGCTGTTCTTTCCAGATGTGCAGTTTTGTGTGGTTTTAAAACAATATGCAATGTGTCATGCAGGGCAGGATAGATCCCAGGCCTCTGAGTCTCAATCCGCCATTCACTTCTTCCCTCCACCAAAGTTTGTTAAGGGAGGGTTGCATCTTAAAGCTGTATTTAGAAAAACTTCAGAAAACCAAATTTACCTCAAGTAGTTTCCTTTCTTTGTAACCTGTTCAGGCTTGACAAAAAGGAAGAAGAACTCCCAGAATTAGGTAGTAATAATAGAGGCAAAGGAAGATTGATATTTTCTGAAGCCCTGCTTACAGAAAGTAGTTACTACATGTTTATTTTATTCTAAGCATAGCTTCAGATTTTTTTTTCATTCTAAGCTGTCCTTAAAAGTCACTTTTAAACCTCACAAGAAGCACCACATGTAAGGGGGAAAGGATGGATTTGACGACATCTAAGGTAAGGCTTTCTGTTCAACAGGCATCATCAGAGCTAACAGATGGCAGACCAAGAAGCTATTTGCAGTGACTAAAATGGAAAAGGGATGAGAAGGTACAAAGTTTCTTGCAAACAACAAGAAAAAGGAAATCCAAAAGAAAAAAAAACCACCCATGGATATTAATAGCTGATTCACAGCAGGGGAAGCCCAAATGGTGAAAAAGAGGTAAACTAAGAGAGCCAAAGAAAGGTACATGTAGATTAAGAGCCGCTACCTTACACCCTTCAGAATTGCCAGACTTCAAGTGCTGGCAGTGGTGCAAGGCCCAGACTTGAATATTGGTGGTTGTGGTGCAAACTGCAATGCATACCCCAGAAGCGGGGCTGGCAGCACTTAAAAGCAGCATGTGTGCCCTGTGATTCAGAGAGACACTTGCACGTGCCTCTCTGGAGAGGTTTCTACCTGGGTCCATGCATGGACTTAGGGAAGGATGCCTTTGGCAATGATTTTGAGTGACCGTGTTGTTGGAGGTGAACAAGGTCTTGGACAAGTCAAAGATGCAAGTGTGTACCATGGACTACTGTGTAGCCATGAGACACAGAACTAGAGCTATGAACAGCAAAGCAGGTGGCTCTTAAAAATAGTGTTGAATACTGAAAGCAAGAAATGAGATTTGTTGCATAATGCCATTATGTAAATGTAGGGCACACAACACAGTATGTCCTGTGAGGATGTGCACATTTCGACTATTAAATGGACATTATGGGAACACAGATTAGTTATGAAAGGAGGACAAAAGATAAAACTGATCTCCTCGTTTTGGGGTGACCTCATATCCCAGTGAGCCCCCTCAGTTGGTTATCCCATCCCAACCCAACCCAGGCTGTTTTCAGCACAGCAGCGTGATAAGGCACGATTCATATCTTGAAGTTGTTAGGCAAAATCCCTCCACTCAGTTCTGTATTTGACTCAGGAAGTCTTTATAATGGTCTAGACAACCCCACACTGTGGCCTCCCACTCCACACCACTCTGACCCAGTCCTCATTTCTCTCCCCAACTCACTCTGGCCTCAGGGTCCTCCCAGGAATTTCCATCCCCCTCACCTTGCTCCACATTCCCCCCTTGTGGTGCTTATGGCCTTAGATCTAGCACACTCTTGTGTTCATTACGTTCCATGTAAGGCTGTCCCTACTACCCTACTAGAACATGATCCAGGAGGCAGGGGGCTTCTGTGTGTCCATTTTTATGTTGTATCCCCAGGCACAGGATCTGATATGCAGGGGACGTTCAATACATATCTGCAGAGTGAATGAGCAAGGCAGGATCCTTAAAGCGAGGGGGAATAACCAGGCTGAGAACTGAGGACAGAGCATGCTAAACTCTACGGTCTGGCCTCAGGGATGGGGGCAGGAAATATGGCACCACCTCCTTGCTTTATTGGAGGGAAAGAAGGTGCTTCTGTGCAGAACTGTCATGATAACAGAATGATAGCTTATCACACACCAGGTGCTGTTCTAGCTCTTTGTTAGCTTACATCATCCCTGTATTGGTCCATTTTCACACCGCTCTAAAGAACTTCCCAAGACTGGGTAATTGATAAAGGAGAGGTTTAATTGACTCACAGATCAGTACGGGTGGGGAGGCCTCAGAAAACTTAAATCGTGGCAGAAGGTGAAAGCAGGGAAGGAAGACACCTTCACAAGGTGGCAGGAGAGAATGAATGCAGAAGGAACTACCAAACACTTACAAAACCATCAGATCGGCCGGGCATGGTGGCTCAAGCCTGTAATTCCAGCACTTTGGGAGGCCAAGGTGGGTGGATCACAAGGTCAATAGATTGAGACCATCCTGGTCAACATGGTGAAACCCCGTCTCTACTAAAAATACAAAAAATTATCTGGGCATGGTGGCGCATGCCTGTAATCCCAGCTACTCAGGAGGCTGAGGCAGGAGAATTGCCTGAACCCAGGAGGTGGAGGTTGCGGTGAGCCGAGAGCACGCCATTGTACTCCAGCCTGGGTAACAAGAGCGAAACTCCATCTCAAAAAAAAAAAAAAAA